AATGTTATTATATAGAAAGCTAAAATAGTAATATAATAATAATGATAATTTGGATACTATAAGCTCTTTAAAGGTGTACCACGTAACTTTTTGGGTTTGTCACCTTCTTGTTTCTGTGGATACGTCATTGCTCTGCCTGGAATGTTCCACAGTGTGACTTTAAACAGCTCTACTTTACATTTATTCAATTACAGATGGTTTTAAAGCAGAAAAATACCTAGAAAAACAAACATTCTGACTGTGAGCGGGGTCGCCTCTCCACAGATCTGACCTGTACCTTAGTCTGGTTTGGTCTTCATGAAGATAGAAAAGATTAATGCCCCTGTTTATTCCTGATTTAGTCCTGGTCTAGTCCTGGTTTAGTCCTGGTTTAGTCCTGGTCTAGTCCTGAACTAGTTCTGGCCTAGTTCTTGTTTAGTCCTGGTCTAGTCCTGGTCTAATTCTAGTCTAGTTCTAGTCTAGTCCTGGTCTAGTCCTGGTCTAGTCCTGGTTTAGTCCTGGTTTAGTCCTGAACTAGTTCTGGTCTAGTTCTTGTTTAGTCCCGATCTAGTCCTGGTCTAGTCCTGGTCTAATTCTGGTCTAGTTCTAGTCTAGTCCTGGTCTAGTCCTGGTTTAGTCCTGGTTTAGTCCTGAACTAGTTCTGGTCTAGTTCTTGTTTAGTCCCGATCTAGTCCTGGTTTAGTCCTGGTCTAGTCCTGGTCTAATTCTGGTCTAGTTCTAGTCTAGTCCTGGTTTAGTCCTGGTCTAGTTCTGGTCTAATCCTGGTTTAGTCCTAGTTTAGTCCTGCTCTAGTCCAGATTTAGTCCTGGTCTAGTCCTGGTCTAGTTCTGGTCTAGTTCTGGTCTAGTTCTGGTCTAATCCTGGTTTAGTCCTGGTCTATTCCTGCTCTACTCCAGTTTTAGCCCTGATTGGGACCTTTAAAGTTGCACTATGTAACTTTTTGTGTGTGGGTCTGTCACCTGCTTGTTTCTATGGATACGTCATTACTCTGGAATGTTCCACAGTGTGACTTTAAACAGCTCTACTTTACATTTATTCAATCACAGGTGGTTTTAAAGCTCAAAAATACCTAGAAAAACAAACATTCTGACTGTGAGCGGGGTCGCCTCTCCACAGATCTGACCTGTAACTTGATCTGGTTTGGTCTCCATGAAGACAGAAAGGTTTAAAGCCGTACTGTGCACGTTTAAGATTAAGGAAAGAAGCACCGTCATTGTAATTACGTGGCTCCTGACCAATAAAAGTCTAATTTGCATCTCAAAACAGAAAGAAATTAAATGAATAAAACATATAATTTGGACGAGCTGATCTTCCAGGCGAGGCTCAGATCATCAAATAAACTCTTAATTTCCATCTGATGTTATGAAAATTATTGCAGGAACATCACATTTCCACACATCCTTCCCTAAAAAAAAAAAAAGAAAGAAAAAAGAAAACACCTGCTGCATATCGGAAATCTTTTTTAATATAATCTGACTGATAAACAAAACCGAAGAATAGAGCAGGTGAGGCTTTGTGCGCGGCTCAAATCACACGGCTCATTCAAACTGGAAGGAGGTGATAATACGTCATAAACTGAAGGCATTTCTGACAATAGAAACTGGCTCAGTAAAGTGCAAAGATAAAGAGAGAAAAGGCAATGGCTGAGCTTTGGTGCCATCTATTGGGGGATAGAGGTACTACAAGTGAAGGAAACGTTAGATAAGAATGGATTTATGGTACAGACGAGCAACAGTGTATTTCCCATAAATTCACATGCCAAAAATGAACAGAACTGTAAGATTTTAATTTAACTTTTCATAAACTTAAACATCTGTGTCCCCAGATACAAGGTAAACAATTGTTTTATTAGATTATTATCCAATCAGAAAGCAGAATGAACCTCACATAACTCTCATTTGTGGTGCCAGTTTCGATGCTGAAATCCACTTTAACCCAGGGGTGTCAAACATACGGCCCAGGGGCCAGATCCGGTCCACCAAGACCTTTAATCTGGTCCTCGACTGATTTTCTACTAAAATATTTTATTTTATATTTTCTATTAAAATATTGATAATTTTCTGCGCCGCTTAGCACAGCAGCATCTCCAGTGCCTCTGTGCAAATGAAGACTTGTCTCTTTCCAAACGCTCTTAAAGGACGATCGTTTTGACTGTTGACCGTGACACCCTCATCAGAAAAATGTCAAAAATAAGATAAGTGGACGCTGAGTGCAGGATTTTCCAACGATAAAATTGACTTATTCCTATTTGCATTAAAGTTAATGTTAAAATATTGTGTTGAAATTGCATTTTTCTTAAAGTTTCAGGTTGTTCATAATATTATAATATTTTGTAAAAGAGTTCATCAATTAAAAAAGATTTCTATAATAGATTTGCATTTCTCTGCACAAATATTTGAATTTATTGCCGTTTTTGGGGTTTATATGTTTATATATATATTTTTTTCCCAACCCTTTTGGGATCAAAGTACCAAATGACCAAAATGAGTTTGGCACCTAAAATGTCTCTCTCTGATCTGAACGGTCACTACCTAAACTCAAGAGTCGGTGCTAGTGCAGCCTCTTCAGCTCTTCAGAGAGAGAATTCTGAAGGTTCTGAGTTTTCACATGAATCTGTCCATAAACTGAGAATGAGAAAAACTTGTACATTTCCTTTATCTGCAGGTGAAGGCTCTGGAGACACAGGTTCAGTTGTGATTATAGTAATAAAACTGTAAGTGCAGAGGATCCATACATTTCTTTTAAAAGTACATGAAGTACCCAAGTCCAGCCATGAAAGGATAATTTACAGTAATAATAATGCATTAGTCTTATACAGCGCTTTTACAGACGCTTAAAGTTGCTTTACAGTTTGGTGCATTATTACTTCTCTCCACTCGCTGGTGGTAAACTCCTGTTGTAGCCACTGACATTTGGGAGTTTACCGATCTGCGTCAAACACCACCTCTTACACACACATTTATACTAGGCAAGTGTCAAAGTAAGTTAAGTAAGTTAAGTTAAGTAGGTTAGTAAGTAATTCAGTGAGTAAGGTAAAGTTAAGTAAGTTAAGTTAAGTAGGTTAGTAAGTAATTCAGTGAGTAAGGTAAAGTTAAGTAAGTTAAGTTAAGTTAAATAAGTTAAGAAAGTCAGTAAATAAAGTTAATTAAGTTAAGTAAGTCTGTAAGTAAGTAGGTAAGTAAAGTAAAGTAAGTTAAGTTAAGCCAGTAAGTAAGTCAGTAAGAAAGTAGTTAAGTAATTTAAGTTAAGTAAGCAAGCCAGTAAGTAAAGTTAAGTCAGTAGTAAGACCGCAAGTGAAGTAAAGTAAAGTAAAGTAAGTTAAATAAGTTAAGTAAGTCGGTAAGTAAAGTAAAGTAAAGTTAAGTAAAGTAAGTTAAATAAATTAAATAAGTTAAGTAAGTCAGTAAGTAAAGTAAAGTAAAGTAAAGTTAAGTAAAGTAAGTTAAGTAAGTTAAATAAATTAAATAAGTTAAGTAAGTCAGTAAGTAAAGTAAAGTAAAGTAAAGTTAAGTAAAGTAAGTTAAGTAAGTTAAATAAATTAAATAAGTTAAGTAAGTCAGTAAGTAAAGTAAAGTAAGTAAGTTAAAAGTTAAATAAGTTAAGTAAGTCAGTAAGTAAAGTAAAGTTAAGTAAGTTAAATAAATTAAATAAGTTAAGTAAGTCAGTAAGTAAGTAAGTTAAGTAAGTTAAATAATTAAATAAGTTAAGTAAGTCAGTAAGTAAAGTAAGTAAAGTTAAGTAAAGTAAGTTAAGTAAGTTAAATAAATTAAATAAGTTAAGTAAGTCAGTAAGTAAAGTAAAGTTAAGTAAGTTAAATAAATTAAATAAGTTAAGTAAGTCAGTAAGTAAAGTAAAGTTAAGTAAGTTAAATAAATTAAATAAGTTAAGTAAGTCAGTAAGTAAAGTAAAGTTAAGTCAGTCTAAGTAAGTAAAGTAAGTAAAGCAAAGTAAAGTTAAATAAATTAAATAAGTTAAGTAAGTCAGTAAGTAAAGTAAAGTAAAGTTAAGTCAGTCAGTAAGTAAAGTTAAGTACCGTATTTTCCGGGCTATTAGACGCGCTCTTAAGCCTCCAACTCCATCAAAAAACGACTGCGCGTCCCACAATCCAGAGCACCCTTTACATGAATCCACTCGGGTGTCCCAGCACGACTTCAGTAAACTACAAAGCCGCACCACCCGCAGAACACGCAAACACACACGGAGCAGACAGCGACCGCACAGAGAAACACACCCACAGACACACTCATCACTCCACGCCGACGAGGAACGGAACGGAGGAACGAACCGAAAAAGCGACGAGCGCAATGTGCCGCTTCTAGACACGACTGAACAACTGAGTCACTGCGAACACGCCGACAATCCGCTGGTCCCAGACAGCACCTCCCTACACGCCACAACTGAACAAAGCCCAGAGTCACCGTGAACGAACAAACAAACAAAACCACTCACCCATCACACTGTTTTTTTTTTAAAGTTAGTAAGTAAGTAAGTTATAATCCGAAGCGATGATATAATAGTGCTTAAAATACGGTAAATTAAGTTAAGTTAAATAAGTGAAGTCAGTCAGTAAGTAAGTAAGTTAAGTAAGTTTTTATTTCTATAGCCCTTTTCACAGACGTATGTCATAAAGAAGCTTTACAGATCATTATTCATTCACTGTATTCATACACGGTGGTGGTGACAGTGACCAGACCCAGTCCTGCTCAGCTCCAGAGATCAGACGAGCTCAGGCTTTGACAAAGAGGTCGAGCCACAAACCTCCTTAACCACAATGTGCACAACTTTGGTCAATAAGTTTTAACCAGCAACAAGTAAACAGCAAAACACAGATGTCAAAACATAAGTGAATAGTTACACCTCATCACTTCATCATCTCATCCTCTGTCTGTCAAACTGACCAATCACAGTCTTGTCCAGAGCAAAGAGCACACAGAGCACACAGAGCACACAGAGCACACTGCCAAACCACAGCAGAGTAAAATATAAGAGTGTCTCCTGACCTGTCTGTACGTGCAGATGATGACCTCTCTCAGGTGATAGTGCATCGGGGTCATAGTTTCACTGACTGAGTCCAGGGCCATGTCCACCTCCCTCTTCATCCTGTGTCCGTCAGGAAGCAGCCGCACCAGCCGCATCACCACCTGCGCCCAAACGAGAGCAAAGACAAGGATTTTACCTCTATATGGCACAATAAACAGATAAATACAGATAAATAAAAATAATAAATACATTAATACATGAAATTAAACTCATCTTTGTTACAGGCTATCAGGCCAAGCGAAAGGACTGATCTGTGGAGAGGCGAGCCCACTCACAGTGAAAACGGATTCATTTTGTTTTAGCAATAGAAACATCTGTAACTGAATAAATGTTTCTGAAAATGTGCAGTTTTAAATCAATTTTCTATTTTTTCTTGAGTTTTCAGACGATTTTCAAACTTTTTCCTCAGTGTTTGCCAATGTGCGAATTTTGTCATCACCATGGTAACTGCTAGACGGCCTGATTCATCACCTGCTTTCACTTCGTGGAAACCGTCTGACCTCACAGTGTTAGGATTCGTTCACTCGACGGTAGGCGGGTATTTTTTTTTTATTTAACCAATCGCTGCAATTTGGTCGTGGCGTATGTAATGCGCCACTAACGGGGTTAACTGATATATTAAACTTTTCCCAAATCCCATAGGAAGAAGGAAAATAACGTCTTTCCCCTTGATAAACTTCACCAAACATTTTTTTTTATTCCGGCTTTAAATCCTCGATCTCGGGAATCGTTGCCAACACAGAATGTTTGGCTCTTCACTGATTGGCTGGTGCCCAAACTCTCACTTCCAGGTTTCTTGCAAATCGTCTAGTGTATTCTGATTCCTGACCTAATCATTGAGAGAAACGAAACTGAGCGGAGGCACTAGGTGGCGCCAGTCTGACTAACTAAAAGGGGTGTAAAAGTACACAAAAATCACGGTTCCTCGGTTCGGTTCATTTTCGGTACAGTTTGGGAACAAAATCCAAAACCATTTGCTTGTTGTTTATTTGTGTTTTTATTAAACAAAAAATTTGTTTTAACATTTTACAAACGGGAAAATAAAATAAATATGCTGCTTGGGTAATACTAATAAGTTAAATAAAATATTCTCAATTAAGCAACAAATGTATGAATTATTATAAAAATAAATTCCTTGTAAACAGTAAACAAAACGTTTCAAAAAGTAAAGCGCAGCACGAACAGTTCCAACATGAAGTTTTACTCAAACTTCATATTTTTGGCCAGAAAAAACAACAGAAGGGGAAATTCTGTGCCGGCGAATGGCAAAAGTGAGAACCGCGGTGTGAAGTTTTGTGAGGATTCACGTGGTTCAGTAGCTCAGTTTGTAGAGCATTTGCCCACTGATCTGAAGGTTGGTGGTTCGAATCCAGCTCTCAACATAAACATCTCAGGTTGAGCGGTCAGATCCACTGACCCACAGGTTGGCTGGTGTGATTCCAGCTCCCACAGATGAATACTGTAATTGTGTCCTTGGGCAAGACACTTAACCCACCTTGCCCACAGTGTCTGCGTACACTGGTGTATGAATAGGTGAATGGTTCCTTGTTGTAAAGCGCTTTGAGTGTCGAAGGTGGAAAAGCGCTATAGAAAAATGTGACCATTTACCATTATACCATTCAGTGGGGGCAATTGTTGTCAAGGCGATCGCCCGAACTATAAATTGCTGCAGGAAACACTGATGCCCCAATCACGGACGAGTTCCATTGTGAATATTAAAGAGCCAGTTCCTCCGTGCACATGTAGTGGCCAAATGTAAACACAAACTCAGTCGTGCTCTGCCCTGCACCGAACCAAGCATCCCATACCCAAACGAACCTATTAACTACTGATCATTTAACCATAAACATCCATGCAAACTTCCCCAGCACGGTGTCACTGCAAAGTATCAACAGACCTGGTTTAGATCTTTTCTCTTTTTCTTTTCTTTGGCAGTTTTTGGTGTGAAAAGTTCGAGAGCCACTGGAGTATATAATATTGTTGTTAAAGCTGCAGCTGATTGACAGTACGGTGGGGTTGCCGTAGTGACCGCTCGGGTGTTTCCTGGTAACGACCCCGACATCGCGGCGGTGATTGGCACGCTGTATTGTGTACGTACGGCATGTGGTCTGCCTCTGTTTATATCTGCGAGGAGGAGACGGCGGGTTTCTAACTGTGAATCATTGTCACAACACAAAAGGAGAGGAAAATGTAGCACCAAGTCTCACTGAAAACACAGCGAACAGAGCTCAGACTCTAATGAGGGTTTTGGCTCGGAGTTAATGGAGTTTTATGTGGAGAAGTGCTGTCACCATACGAGAATTTCAAACTATTTCAAAACTAAAACTAAAAACTAAACTAAAACTATTCTTCTTTAGGCAATAGAATGTGAATTTCAACAAACACTTCCTCCTACGATGCCTGGGAATAAGTTTTATATAACCGCGCAAAACTTTCCAACCATAAAAGATAGAAACTTACTTTTTTTTACTTACTTTCCGAGCATATTTCCGGCATTATCCTACGTCATCATGCAGCGTGCGTATGACATAGGAAATATGAGTGAAAACGAGTGTCCAATTAGGAACTTTTGTTTTTGTTTTCCGTCAAACTCATGCACTCAGTCCATTTTGATAGGCCCAGACTTTGCCAAAGAGTGTAGTGAGTCAAGATGATCGACTGCTCTGAGCGTCTGTGTTCGTAACAATTAAAAAAGCCGCTCTAAGTGCAGTTATTTCTCAAATAAATGGCAAACTACACGAGCCAGGCTGGCGCCGACTAGTGCGCCAGCCCCAATTTCTCTCCAGCGACTAGGTCAGAAATCAGAATACACTAGACGGTTCGCAAAAACCCCGGAAGTGCGAGTTCAGCCACCCGCCAATCACCGAAGAGCCAGACATTCTGTGTTGACAACGATTCCCGAGATCGAAGATTTAAAGCCGGAATAAAGAGAATGTTTGGTGAATTTTGTCAAGGGTAAAGACATTGTTGCCCTTCTTCCTATGGGATTTTGGAAAAGCTTAATATACCAGTTAGCGGTGCATTACATATGTCACGACCAAATAGCCGTCGAGTGAACGAAATCTAACACTGCGATGTCAGACGGTTTCTATGAAGAGAAATCGGCTGATGAATCAGGCTAAAATTACACATCTTGGTCTGTGTAATTGTACATCCCTTGCTTTATTTTTTATTTGTAAGATTTATTTCAGTCAAACTGTACAAATCCAAATGTAATAAACCCCATGGAAATGCAGAAAGTGATGTGAAATAACAGGTTGTACTGAAAAAAAAAAAAAAGGATGCATTAGGGAGTAAAAGGGGGAGCTTTAAGAGTAAAATGAAGAAAAAAATCCAAGCGACAGTCAGACAGAAGCTGAACCACATCAGCGACACAAGTAAAGAGCTGTTTTTATCAGCACTTTATAGTTTATGCAAATGAGCTGTGTGGTTCATTTCTGTAAAACATAAACAAATATGCGCCTGAAGCCAAAATACTGCCAAATTGCAAAAGTACAACAATTTTTTTTGGGGGGGGGGACCATCTCACTAAAAGAAAAATTATAGATACTATTAGTTTTAAATCGTGAAGCATTAAATTGAAAATACAACCACACATTCATTTGTGCTGAGCAAACTAATTTAGGGATCAATAAATTATAATATTATATTAGGTCCTTACACGCTGCAGATTTTTTAAAATAACGGTAATGAAACTGATACCGCGGGATACTGTAATACCGTCCATCCCCAGCAGGACAAATGTTATAAAATTACCCTTAGGTCTGGAAGGGTTAAGACAAAAATAGAATGTAACTTTCAACGTTAAAAGTCTTAAATTACACAAAAATGACTCTTGTGAGATTTAATCCATGTTATAATGTTGTTACCTCATCAAAAATAGACCTGGACTTGTGTTTTGTTTGAGTAATCCATTAATATTAGTCAATCTCCAGAGCTCAAAATGCTCTGTTCCACCTTGTGATGTCATGGAGCGGTTTTTGTTTTCAAGTTAACAGATACTTTTTACCTTTAGTTCAGTAGAAATTGACAATTCCAGGACTGAAATCATCCAAATGGTTTTATTAAAGGCGTACGGAGTTTAAAAACACAATGGAGCACTTCCTGTATTCCTGTTTAAGAGAAGAACTCAGTCTAAATATTAGTTTTAGTATCGATTAGTATCAGCTTTTCGATACTTTGGACTGGAGTGGAGAGTTTTATAACGCGCTGAAAACTGAAGTAAATGTGTTGAAATTTATGATCCATGGTTTATTTTCCGAACTCTCCATCTGATCCATTTTACAAGTCAAGGTAGAACGCCAACATGGAAATACAAGGAGGATTATTAATATTGGCCTCTTCTTCTGACCAAGACACAGTTAACTTGAGGAGTTTTCTGTTCATGGGTTAAACCGGAGCCAAAAATGACACACTTCTCCGATAGTTTACAATGGTGTAGTCTGAACACGAGTTTTACGGCCGCGTCTCTTTTCTCTTTTCTCGATTCCTTCTCCTCGATTCTCCATTTTTCAGCTGTCAGTAAATTGTGTCTCAAAGAAAACCACGGAGTGAAGGAGTAAACATGACGGAGGATTCAGGGGATAAAAGAATCAGATAAAAGAATCTAATTTTATTTTGATGGGCCGGACTTCCTCACCCATTTCCGGCAGAATCGAGCAGGTACGGGCAAACAGTTGCTGAAACTGGTGGGTTTTAACGTTATGGAATTTTACAGGCGGATATGCGGGCGGGTAGTGATTACACACAGGCGGGTCAAGACTAAACCAGGACTAAACCAGGACTAAACCAGGACTAAACCAGGACTAAACCAGGACTAAACCAGGACTACACCAGGACTAAACCAGGACTAAACCAGGACTAATCTTAGACTTAAGAGAGAGAACCCTGAGCCCGTGGAGCTGATTTAGTCATGGTTTAGCCCTGGGTTGAACTTGGTTTAGTCCCGGGTCAGTCCCGGGTCAGTCCCGGGTCGGCTGTGGTTGAGCCTTTCTTTGGACCTGCTTTGGTCCTGGTTTAGTCCTGGTTTAGTCCTGGGTCAGTCCTGGGTTTGTCCTGGTTTGGCCATGGTTTAGCCCTGCTTTGTACCTGGTTTAGTCCTGGTTTAGCCCTTTGGACCTGGTTTAGTCCTAGTTTAGTCCTGGGTCAGTCCTGGGTTTGTCCTGGTTTGGCCATGGTTTAGCCCTTCTTTGTACCTGGTTTAGTCCTGGTTTAGTCCTGGTTTAGTCCTGGTTTAGTCCTTTGTACCTGGTTTAGTCCTGGTTTAGCCCTTTGGACCTGGTTTAGTCCTAGTTTAGTCCTGGGTCAGTCCTGGGTTTGTCCTGGTTTGGCCATGGTTTAGCCCTGCTTTGGTCCTGGTTTAGTCCTGGTTTAGCCCTTTGGACCTGGTTTAGTCCTGGGTCAGTCCTGGTTTAGTTCTGGTTTAGTCGTGGTTTAGTCCTGGTTTAGCCCTTCTTTAGACCTGGTTTAGTCCTGGGTCAGGCCTGGTTTAGCCCTTTGGACCTGGTTTAGTCCTGGTTTAGTCCTGGGTTAGTCCTGTTTTAGTCCTATTTTAGTCCTGGGTTAGTCCTGTTTTAGTCCTATTTTAGTCCTGGGTTAGTCCTGGGTTAGTCCTGGTTTAGTCCTGGTTTAATCCTGGTTTAGTCCGGCATCTTGATCACCGTTTCTTCTGCTCATTAAATAAATCCTGTGAAGTGATGACGTATTTTTGACATTCGATTCGCGTCTGTGAATTCGTGTTCGTTCTGACGAAAGCGTAAACGTTTAATTTCATTTCGTGATTGTAATTCTTGAAGTCGTAACTTTTCAATCCGTATTCTGATGGATGCTTCACACACTTATTAAAAGCTTTCTAACTGATTTATCTCGGGCGCGGGCGGGTAACAGGTGGAATGTTAACGGTTCCGGGTTTTTAGGACTCTGGTTCAGATGGGCGCGATTGACAGGTGGATTAGCCAATCAGGGACTAGTACATGGTCTGTATCAAAACAAATACGGCTGCTTACGAGGGGAAAAAAGGAAAAAAAAAAACATCACAGGGGATTGAAAATACTGAGGATTTCTGCAGAATCAATAAGCGACACACTAAACTTGTGTATGTGTATGTACCTGTGCAGTATTAGTTGATTATAAATGCATAAAAACTGGGGGCGTACCTCAAATTCTCCTTTTGTGTACTTGGCGTCAGGAACACTCACAATCTCATCGTCTGTGATCTCCGGAAAACCCTGAAACAAACAAAATATTTATTTAATTAAGCGTGCTGTAGCTGATTTGTTATGTCTTAAAAACATGAAAAGCAGAACTATTGTATTTTTAAGACGGTAAGTCACACTTTTTTTCATGGTTTGGGTGTTTCCTGTGACTTATATTCTGGTGCGACTTATATATTAAAACGTTGACAGTGAAGCGTTGAGAGGTTCTAGTCTTGTGTGTCAGTATCTGCTGCTCCTGTTCCTCCTGTACCACTGTCACTTGGCTCTACTGCGCATGTCTCCTGCAGAAAGAGCCTCTGTCCTGTCTGTATCATGTCAGTCGATCAAACCATTACTTCTGCACCACTGAACAATTTAACATTTAAACAAACATATAAAGACACTGAGAAAACTGAACACAAATGCCCCCAAAAAAGAAAATCATATTCTGCAGATTACAAACTGCAAGTCGTAAAATATTCAGCTGAAAACGATAATCGAGCAGCAGAAAGAAAGTTTGGAGTGAGCGAGAAACTTGTGGCACTGGGAGGATGCACCATGAAACTTTCCTGAAGTCACTGGATGGATGGACAAAGTCTGGACTTCAGTGACACAGAAACCATCCTGTCGGGATTCAGAAAGACCCGAATAATTCTAACTGGAACTGATGCTGAGTCTGACGACAGCGACACAGAAGAGGAAGCGGCGCAACAGTTTACCTCCGGAGGTCGAGGAGTTGTTCAGAAGTGACACCGAGGATGAAGAATTGAATGGATTTAGTGATTTGGAGTGAGATGGAGAGTTTGTTAAACTTGTTCTGTTCTGTTGTTTATGTTATAGTTTATCTGAAGAACTGTTCACATGTGACGTTAACAGTCTGTTGTTCTCTCTTCTATTGTTATTAGTATTACATATGTTTTTTTTCTTCTTCATTAGGCATTTTTTGGCTGGTGCGACTTATACTCCCAAAAATACGGTAGTTTATTTTAAACAGTTTGCAGTGATCCAAAGTTATTTCTCACTCAAATTATGCATTCTGAACATCCTAATCACAAATTTCACAACTTTCAGACACCAGAGTTTTGCAGTCACGATAAAGCCAACAACAACTAGCATGCTCAGAGTGTATTTCCTGACTCTTGGACAACAAAAAGCTTCATAATTAGATGCAGACAGAACACAGTGGACTTATTTTGACCTCAAGAGCTGCTTATACAACACACATCTGTACCGGGGTAAGACACATTTTGCTCAGATACATGGGGAAAAAACAAGTACAGGCTCTTTAAATAAAAATCCACATCATGAATCTGTAAACTCACATTAAAGTTCCAGAGTGTGAGGACGGCGATCACCGAGGCTGTGGTGGTTCGTCCTTTTCCGTTTGAACAGTTAAACACAAACGCCGAGTGGGAATCTTCAGCCAAAGCACTTTTCATCGACTCCAGAAGTTTGTCAAAATCCTGCAGGAAATAAAAACAAATAAAAAGCACAATTAGACAATCAGGAATGAATAATGCAGATATAAAATGGTAACTTGAAAAAAAAAAAAAAAAGTTACAACATGATTTTACCAGGTAAAATGTAAAGAAAATAAAAAAGAAATAATAATAATAATAATAATAATAATAATAATAATAATAATAATAAATAATAATAAAAATAATAAAAACATAAATAAAAAACAACATAAAATAAATCTTCAGTTTTTCATTGATTTTAACTTTGAAGGTGTAATGTTTTTTTTTTAGTGGAGGTGAAGGGTCCATCAAACGCTTTTCTTCATGGAGATGTTATTACTTTGTCTGGAATGTTTCACAGTGTGGCATTAAACCTTTCTATCTTCATGGAGACCAAACCAGACTAAGTTACAGGTCAGATCTGTGGAGAGGCGACCCCACTCACAGTCTAAACGCCTGAATATTATAGCCAAAGGAACAACATTTCCGTGGAGACAAGAAGGAGGAGTTGACTGTTTTACTGCGGTTTTCAGTGCAATAAAAACATCAAAAATAAAATAAAAACATGCTTTTATTTTTGTCTAAAAAGTTGCACAGTGGGTCTTTCAATTATTTTTATTTTTCATTATTTAACCAGATAAAATGTTTGGGATGTTTTGTTATTATAATAATAGTAGTAATAGTAGTAATAGAAATAGTAGTAGTAGTAATACTAATAGTAATAATAATACTAATAATAGTAGTAGCAGTAATAGTAGTAATAGTAATAATAGTAGTAGTAATAGTAGTAGTAATAATAGTAGTAGTAGTAGTAGTTGTTGTTGTTGTTGTTGTTGTAGTAGTTATTGTTGTAGTAGTAGTTGTAGTAGTAGTAGTAGTTGTTGTAGTAGTTGTAGTAGTTGGAGTTGTAGTAGTAGTTGTAGTAGTAGTTGGAGTTGTAGTAGTAGTAGTTGTAGTTGTTGTAGTACTTGTAGTAGTTGTTGTAGTTGTAGTAGTTGTATTTGTTGTAGTAGTTGTAGTTGTTGTAGTAGTTGTAGTTGTAGTAGTAGTTATAGTAGTTGTAGTTGTAGTTGTAGTAGTAGTAGGAGTTGTTATAGTAGTTGTTGTAGTAGTAGTTGGAGTTGTAGTAGTAGTTGTAGTTGTAGTAGTAGTTGTAGTTGTAGTAGTAGTTTTGTAGTAGTTGTAGTAATAGTTGGAGTTGTAGTAGTAGTTGTAGTTGTTGTTTGTAGTAGTAGTTGTAGTTGTAGTTGTAGTAGTTGTAGTTGTTGTTGTAGTAGTAGTTGTAGTAGTTGTAGTAGTTGTAGTAGTTGTAGTAGTTGTTGTAGTAGTTGTAGTAGTAGTTGTAGTTATAGTTGTAGTAGTAGTAGGAGTTGTAGTAGTAGTTGTAGTAGTAGTTGTAGTTATAGTAGTTGTAGTTGTAGTTTGTAGTAGTAGTAGGAGTTGTAGTAGTTGCTGTAGTAGTAGTTGTAGTTTGTAGTAGTTGTAGTAGTTGTAGTAGTTGTTGTAGTAGTTGTAGTAGTAGTTGTAGTTGTAGTTGTAGTTGTAGTTGTAGTAGTTGTAGTAGTTGTTGTAGTAGTTGTAGTAGTTGTAGTAGTAGTTGTAGTATGTAGTTGTAGTAGTTGTAGTAGTTGTAGTAGTAGTTGTAGTAGTAGTAGTTGTAGTTGTAGTAGTAGTTGTAGTTGTAGTAGTAGTTGTAGTAGTAGTTAGTAGTTGTAGTAGTAGTTGGAGTTGTAGTAGTAGTAGTAGTTGTAGTTGTAGTAGTAGTAGTAGTTGTAGTAATAGTTGGAGTTGTAGTAGTAGTTGTAGTAGTAGTTGTAGTAGTTGTAGTTGTTGTAGCAGTTGTAGTTGTAGTAGTTGTAGTAGTTGTTGTTATTATTATCATCAATTTCTAATTTATATACTTTGTTTTTAATGATTTTATTTTATTTCTTTATTTATTAGAACAATTAACTTAAAATATACATAAATATTTAAAGAATAAAAGTCAAAGAAACCGTGTGTCTCATCTGTGCAGTCAGACACGTATTTATAATTTTGTACAACGGTTTATTTCAAGATTATATGAAGACGACACAAGTTAATCTAACACACAAAACCTCTTTCCTCTTTCAGCCACTAGAGGTCAGGCAACACTAGATTTCCACGCCCCCGTCCTTCTCTGTTGATGTAAGTGCAGTGTTGTGCTCACCTCCTCCCGGGGCGCGCTGTACTCGGGCAGAGGGACGCGTCTGTACACCAGGCCCTGATGACTCTTTTTGTGTTCGCTGAAAATTTCCTGAACGGTTTTGACGTTTTTAAACATCTTCATCTGTTTGTCCTGCTCCATCGTCACCTCCAGCCACTTCTGAGCTCCCAGGATCTCCTCCTTCAGACACGACTCCAGCTTCTGATGAACACACAGGGTTTATGTTACAATTTAAGGATGAAACGCTTTTGTTTTGGTTTGTTTTAATTGATTTTAACATTATATCAAAAATTAAACAAAACACGTGGGGACTTGCAAGTCATGATTTGGACTCGAGTCAGACTTGAGTCACTATTTTTAGGACTTGACTTGATAAAATGAACTAAGACTTGGGACTCGACTTGGACTTGAAGGTCAGTGACTTAGGACTGGACTTCGACTTGAAAAGCACTTTTAAATCTGAATTCTTTCTATTTTGACCGTAATGATTTACACTAAGATCTTGTCAAGACATTTAAAAAGGAAAAAATAGCATTTGTACAACTCTTATAAACTCTATATATACTCATATATAAATATACTATGACTTTTTAAATACAATTTATCTTAAAAGTCAAATAAACTGCAAAAATCTAAGCTATATTTGGTAAATTGGTTTAAAGACTTGAAATGACTTGAAGCTCAAAGCAGACGACTTGGACTTGACTTGGATTTATGGGCTAGTGACTCAAGACTCGACTTGGACTTGCCTGTATTTGACTTGGGACTTGACTCGGACTTGAGACTTATTTGAGATTTGCAAAACAACGACTTGGTCCACGTCTGCCATCACAAAACATCGAATTACATGTTTCTCTGCTTAAACTCAGACGATAAGAAGAAATAACAGTTCTAAGCACTTCTAAATCTTAAGTCTTGTCAAGGCATTCTAAGAAGAAAAAGTAGCATATTGACAGTTTTGTTTGCCTCCAGAAAACATCGTGAAAACATCGTACAGAGAGATTTGGATATCGTTACATCCCAGGAATTGATCAGACTTTTAAGGCTAAATATGAAATGTTAACTCTTTCCACTAACCCTGTGGTCTAGTTTTTTTAACATTCAAAATCCTGTCAGTGCATTTATTGTCGTCTCTTTTAAACAAAAGGCGCAGACATTCAGAAATAATCATAATAGTCTCATGAGAACTAGAGGTGAGATCGGGCCTAAAAAATCCAGCCCGACCCGATCCCGCCCGCGGGTATTAAAACCCGACCCGGCCCGAGCCCGAAGCAAACCCGAAATGTCATATTTTATTTGTGACTCGGGAGGAGGAGCAGTGCTCAGCGTCGAGGTGTCAGTCTTTTTGCTCTCGTATGAAAGCAAAGCGCCACATTGACGACATTCAGCGAAGCCAACGCAAGTTTCTGTAGCATTTTCAACAATCAATTTGAAGCTTTTCCACACCTCACTCTTACCGGTGCGTGTTTGTCTTTTCAGTTCTCCTGCCTTTAGTTTAACTTCTTGCTCCTCCATATTGGGGACACCAGGTCAAAATAGATGCAGACTTGCGGAGGGGAAGATGATTAAATTAAGAGGGGGAGTTCACGTGCGCAGAGCTCTGGCTCTGCGGATCCTGTTTAGTAGTTAAATAGCAATTACATTACATTACTTCTCTGTTTTATCCATATTATTTATTTTATAACAAGTATTCCTTAGTTTAGTATCCACACATCGTTTTAGCATACATTTTATAAACATATATTTATTTGAAGCCCGAGCCCGACCCAATCCGAAGTAATGATTGACATTTTAGGCCCGGTCGGGTCGGGCTTGGGCTCGGTCTTAAGATCTTACCTCTAATGAGAACTTAGCAGAACGCTGGAGTTGCATAAAAGAGATACTAAAGTTCCATGACTTTTTCAATACTTTCATTGAATTTACAAATTTCCATGACTCTTCCAGGATTTCCATGACCGTGTGAACCCTGATAGAAGTTGTGGGTTAGACTCCTTATCCCTCTGAGTGTAACGTGCATGTTCTCCCTGTGTTGCCGCAGCAGAGAGATGGAGGTTGTGGGTTAGATTCCCGACAGTACCTGCAGTAGTTGAGGGTCAGTAGACGGGACGGTGATCTTCTGGTCCACGTTGGTCGGTTCTCTGACGGAGTAGATCTGAGCGTTCGCCTCCAGGACCAGCTCCTCCTGAAGATTCACCCACAGAATGTGTTTGTGTTTCCTCTTCTCGTCCGTGAGGTGAGACAGGACGGACGCAGACGCCTGGAGAGAACAGAGGTTAAGATCATAAAATAAAGCTGCAATGTGTAACTTTCCTCGTGGAGTGTCTATCGTCTGCCTGTGTCTCTGGAGATGTTTTGGCTCTGTCTGGAATGTTCCACAGTACTAAACTACAGTACACTAAACTTTTATTGGTATATCTCCATGGAAACAAAGCAGTGACACCACCAGGCCATGTGACAGGTCAGATCTGTGGAGAGGCGAGCCCAATCACACAAGCGTTTTTAGTTATTTAAATTTATGTAATAGGAAAAAATGTAAGATAAATTTAACACTGTGGGACATTCTATACGCACTAACATTTCGATTTTGAAAAAAAAAAATGTAATTGCGATTTTTCTGGCAGATATTGCGATTTCGATTTCATCCACAATTTTTTTTCAGATCAAGTTTCAGTGCACATGAATATTTGCAAACACAGATCAGACCATAACTACGCTCTACATGCATTTTCTGTACTCTGCTTTTCTTTTCTTTCAATATACGCTGAGTAATAATGTGTTTAATGCAGCTTTGTGCACGTTTGTTTACGTTTTACACAAATGAAACTTAAAACCACATGACTCATTTGCATAAACTATAAGTGCTGAAAAATACAGCTCGCTCCTCGTGTCGCTGATGCGGTTCAGCTTCTGTCGGACTAAAGGACACGATACAACAAAGCAGAAATAAACCAGGACTAAACCAGGACTGAACCAGGACTAAACCAGGACTAAAGAAGAAGTAGACTAGGACTAAACCAGGACAAAACCAGGGCCAACCCAGGGCTTAACCAGAACTAGATTAGGGCTAAATCAGGACTAAAGCAGGACTAGACTAGGACTAAACCAGGACTAAACCAGGACTAGACTAGGTCTAAACCAGGGCTAAAACAGGACTAGACTAGGACTAAACCAGGGCTAAACCAGGACTAGACTAGGACTAAACCAGGGCTAAAACAGGACTAGACTAGGACTAAACCAGGGCTAAAATTGGACTAGACTAGACTAAACCTGGGCTAAACCAGGACTAGACTAGGTCTAAACCAGGGCTAAAACAGGACTAGACTAGGACTAAACCGGGGCTAAAACAGGAACTACTAGACTAGGTCTAAACCAGGGCTAAAACAGGACTAGACTAGTGCTAAACCAGGGCTAAACCAGGACTAGACTAGGACTAAACCAGGGCTAAAATTAGACTAGACTAGGACTAAACCAGGATTAAAGCAGGACTAGACTAGGACTAAACCGGGGCTAAAAGAGGACTAGACTAGGACTAAACCAGGGCTAAACCAGGTGTTCAGAGTGTTCTTTCTGTGACAGAGGATGTGCTGCTGATGGTGAGTCTGTTCTGTGCTTCTATCACGTTGGACATGGTTCATGTTAAACTTTACACGAACGCCAGGTTTAAATCCTGGCCTCCCAGTGTCATGGCGGTGAATGACTTCGCAGAGCATAGACCTCGACGCAGATCCACAAATCTTTAGGAGCACTGCAAAAATAACACGGCTTTGACACTCCTAAAATCGAGTTGTCTGAGATCGCGATTTTCGGTCCAAAACGACAGACTGTTCAGCCCTACCACAAAGTTACTTAAAGGTTCACTGTGTAACTTTTTCGTTGAGGGTCTGTCAAACTGCTTGTTTCCATGGATACATCATTGCTCTGCCTGGAATGTTCCACATTAAACAGCTCTACTTTACATGTATGCAATTATAGGTTGTTTTATAGCTCAAAAACACCTAGAAAAATAGACATTCTGACTGTGAGCGGGGTCGCCTCTCCACAGATCTGACCTGTAACTTGATCTGGTTTAGTCTCCATTCCAGATAAAGCAATAACATCTCCATGGAGACAAGAATTTGACAGGTCCTCCAATGCACTTTTTACAACAAAAAAAGACTAAAATTTGGGTTTATGTGGCAAATTTTAAGTATTTTTTTCAATTCCAAGATAATAACACACATATTTTTCACTTATATTATAGTAATTTCTGTTCAGATGTTGTCAAGATTGCGCCACATAAATATTTATAAATCAAACTAAATTATTTCCATGTCCCAGCGATGCTCAGATGTGTAATATTTTTCCAAACACAGACCTCGGTGTTGGGCTGGGACATGCCGTAGACGGGCATTTTGGGCACTCGTCTGAAGTTGGCGGCCTTCATCTCTTTGACGGTGCTCAGCAGATCTGGAGCCAAGTACTCGTCTGAAACCTGCAAAAGAGAAACAAGCCGACGTCGATACAAAACCAGGGTCAGATAACACGGAAATACAAGAGAAAAAACAGTCACCGCGAGCATCGTTTGAGATAAGAGGACTTCCTTTTTGTGCAGGTTTATCAAAGAGATCAACAGTGTCAGATATGTGTTATAGAGGACTAAACCAGGACTAAACCAGGACTAAACCAGGACTAAACCAGGACTAAACCAGGACTAAACCAGGACTAAACCAGGACTAAACCAGGACTAAACCAGGGACTAAACCAGGACTAAACCAGGACTAAAAACTAAACCAGGACTAAACCAGGACTAAACCAGGACTAAACCAGGACCAGGACTAAACCAGGACTAAACCAGGACTAAACCAGGACTAAACCAGGACTAAACCAGGACTAAACCAGGACTAAACCAGGGCTAAACCAGGACTAAACCAGGACTAAACCAGGACTAAACCAGGACTAAACCAGGATAAACTAAACCAGGACTAAACCAAGACTAAACCAGGACTAAAACTAAAACCAGGCTACAACCAGGACTAAAACCAGGACTAAACCAGGGACTAAACCAGGACTAAACCAGGACTAAAACAAGACTAAACCAGGCTAAACCAGGACTAAACCAGGACTAAACCAGGACTAAACCAGGACTAAACCAGGGACTAAACCAGGACTAAACAACCAGACTAAACCAGGACTAAACCAGGACTAAACCAGACTAGGACTAAACCAGGACTAAAAACCAGGCTAAACCAGGACTAAAACCAGGACTAAACCAGGGCTAAACCCACAAAACCAGGACTAAACTAAACCAGGACTAAACCAGGACTAAACCAGGACTAAACCAGGACTAAAACAAGACTAAACCAGGGCTAAACCAGGGCTAAACCAGGACTAAACCACGTCTAAACCAGGGCTAAACCAGGGCAAAACCAGGACTAAAACAAGACTAAACCAGGACTAAACCAGGACTAAACCAGGGCTAAACCAGGACTAAACCAGGACTTAAACAAGACTAAACCAGGACTAAACCAGGACTAAACCAGGACTAAACCAGGGCTAAACCAGGACTAAAACAAGACTAAACCAGGGCTAAACCAGGACTAAAACAAGACTAAACCAGGACTAAACCAGGAATAAACCAGGACTAAACCAGGGCTAAACCAGGACTAAACCAGGGCTAAACCAGGGCTAAACCAGGACTAAAACAAGACTAAACCAGGACTAAAACAAGACTAAACCAGGACTAAAACAAACAAGACTAAACCAGGACTAAACCAGGGCTAAACCAGGGCTAAACCAGGATTAAACCAGGACTAAACCAGGGCTAAACCAGGACTAAAACAAGACTAAACCAGGACTAAAACAAGACTAAACCAGGACTAAAACAAGACTAAACCAGGACTAAAACAAGACTAAACCAGGACTAAACCAAGGACTAAACCGGGACTAAACCAGGGCTAAACCAGGACTAAACCAGGGCTAAAATGAGATTAAACCAGGACTAAACCAGGATTAAAACAGGACTAAACCAGGGCTGGACCAGGACTAAAACAGGACTAAAACAGAACTAAACCAGGTCTAAACTGGAATTAATCCAGGATTAAACCGGGGTTAAACCAGAACTAACACAGAACCTAACTAGGGATAAACCAGGGCCAAACCAGGGCCAAACCAGGGCCAAACCAGGGCCAAACCAGGGACGAACCAGGGCTAAACCAGGGCCAAAACAAGGGCTAAACCAGAACTAAACCGGGACTATAGTAGGATTAAAGTAGGGCTAAAGTAGGGCTAAAGTAGGACTAAAGTAGGACTAAACCAGGACTAAAGTAGGACTAAAGCAGGACTAAAGCAGGACTAAAGCGGGACTAAAGCTGGACTAAAGCTGGACTAAAGCTGGACTAAGGCAGGAAGAAAGTAGGACTAAAGTTGGACTAAAATAGGACTAAAGTAGGACTAAACCAAGGGCTATACCAGGACTAAACCAGGACTATAGTAGAACTAAAGCAGAACTAACCCAGGGCTAAACCAGGACTAAACCAGGACTAAACTGGGACTAAACCAGGATTACAGTAAACCAGGACTAAGCCAGAACTACCTGGCATGTTCCACAATATGGTATTGAACTAATCTATTTCCATGGAGACAAGCAGATGACTCATTGGGCCAATGTACAAGTCAAATCTGTGGAGAGGCAAGCCCCACTCACAGCGAGAACAGCAAAAAAACAAGTATTTTTAACAGCAATGCAATAAACGCAATAACGATTTAGTTTGTTTTGTTTAAAGCCATATTGTGGAATATTCCAGAGAAAACCATAACATCTCGATAAGCATGTGGCAGGCCCTTAGCGAGAAAAGTTACATAGTGCACCTTTAAAATAGAACATATATAACCAAAGAGTAACTCACATAAAAATAAAATAATAAATAATAAATACATAATAAAAAAAAAATTAATGAAAATAAATAATGAAATAAAATACAATAAAATAAAATAAATGTAAAATAAATAAAATAAAATAAAAGTAAAAAGATTAATAATAATAAATAAATAAATTAAAAATTAAAAAACAATTAAATACATACATAAATACATAAATAAAGACTGACCAGGACTCTTGCTCCTTTGGTGATGAGTTCTGGAGAAACAGTGAGTTCAGATAAATTCATGTTTGATAAAAGTCGGTAGATCCAGGAGTGGGAGCACATCCACTGACTGAAGGAGCTCAGCAGACCGATGGGGAACTAAACAGAAAAAAACATGATTAAACCAGGAACATTTTTGTAGTGACATAATAACTGGACCTTTTATATTGGCTTCTTTACCTGTTCGTGTAGATACGCGTTGAATACGATCAAATAAAAGTATCTCTCCAGACTCTGCATCGTTCTCTTTAGAAAATAATCTTTAGTGCTGCTTCCCTGAAATCAAAACATTCACTATTATTAAAAAGGCTCTGAACCTGATTTTTACCGTCTTAAAAACAGGAAAAAGAGAAGTAGTTCATTTTAAACGGTTTGCAGTGGACTAAAGTTAACAACAACTAGCATGCTGACAGTGAGCATCCTGTTAAGCAGACAATAAAATACTCTTTAGTCTAGTCTTTAATCAGAAAATGAGTTGATTCAACTTGACAAGTAAAATTACAATGAAATAAATGTGTTTTTCTTAATTCAAGCGATATTCGATTTTTGTTTCATATTTTAAGTGCAAAAGTTGTTGTTTTTCTTATTTTAAGTGTAGCAAGATATATTTTCATATTTAAAGCTCAAAAAGTCTAATAATTTTACTTGTCAATTGAAATTTACTTAAATCATGATAAAACTTTCTTAATTCAAGCCAACTTGACTAGATTTAGTTTTTTGTTAGTTTTTATGTAATGTAATGTAAACATAACAGAGTGCTCTAGTTGCGTGAAAGAGACAAAAAATCCATGTCTTTTCCAAAACTTTTATAGAATTTATAAATTTCCATGACCGTGGGAACCCTGAATATATCTGTACTGGGACAAGACAAATTTTGCTCATATACCTGGAGAAGAAAAAATCAGGTACAAGCACTTTAAAAATAATTATTAACACATTTTTGTCAGATTTTGGGTCATGTACAAAATTTTAATAATACAGTAAAATAAACCAAAATTATAAAAAAAAAAAAAAAAAGTGTAATATTGAAATTAAATGAAATACATTTGTTACTGGTATTTGTTATTATTAAACCCTTCTGTGTGTGTGTCTCTTTGTTTGTTTTATAAAATGAATTATTTATATAGAAGTACAGTTTTATCTCACCTGTATCTGATAGTCTTCTCCGATTCCCTCCAGTTTACTCTTGTTTTCGTAAATAGCTTCTTTTATATTGTGCATTTCTGAACACAGGCTGATGGCGCGGTCCACCTACACCACAAGATCAACAATAAGAAATACATAAAAAATCGTGTATTCTTACAACAACAAAAGACATGTGCAAACAAAAAACACATTTCATGAAAGAAAATATATATTATTATTCTAACTTGGGTATTTTTAATAAGTGTAAGTAATTTTTAAACAATCATCACACTGTCACCTCTTGCATGAGCTGCTGTCCGTTGGGCAGTTTGTTGATGAGATTCTGAACGACCTGAAACAGTGGTTTAGTCTCTGAAGCGCCATTCGTGTCCGCTCTGAAAAAAATATATTAAAAAAGAGATATTATGCAGTGGTTTGGGTAAATATTATATTTTTCGGACTATAAGTCACACTTTTTTTCCATGGTTTGGGTGCGACTTACATTAATATAATAATATACGTATATATTATATATTATATAATTTCACATGTTTGTTATTTTCACACTGACAGCCATGAGAGGGCGCTCTAGGCTTGTGTGCCAGTATCTGCTGCTCCTTTTACTCCCTTACCACTAAAAATGTCAATTTTTTATTTAAAAACAGAGCAGAGGAGCACAAACAGACAGAGGAAAGAGCCTGTAAAACTTCTGTCACTGTCCACAGTTCTCGTCGAAGGTATGTGCGTATTCACCGTGTGTTTTGTTTTGTTTTTGTTTACACGAGAACGCATGCAACAAAATATTTTATCAGAAGTGCCTTTCGTTTAGACGGTGACGGCGTTTTTGGGGCTTAAAAACGCAAAAATCTGAAACCCACCTCCAGAGTTGAAAAGTTGAATAGGCGTTTCCGTCTGGTCAGATCTGCTCACGTCGTGTACTCGTTTACGTCACAAACATACAGTACACAGAAACACGTGTCATAGCGTGCATACCCAATCGAATTCCACAGAGCTTTGCATCACCGTATGCACACAGATTTCCTCCAGAAAACGCTCGAATAAACGCAGAATAAAAAGTGAAAACGCAACGCCATTTTTGCATCTTCTGTTCAGACCGTCATCATATAAACTTACCCTTATATGTTTTTTTCTTCTTCATTATGCATTTTTTGGCCATTAAACTATAACATACTTAGATCTCCATTTTATAAGTTGTTCAATGTAAACCAGAATATTGATCTAAATGTAGTAGAAACAGATCCACTGACTTCCCGTTCACAGTAGCAAGCAGCTGATTTTATCTTTGTGAGTTCTTTATGCATGTCCTAAATCAATATATATATTTTTTAATAATTCTAATTAAAGCTATTATGTAAAAATCAACTTCTTGGAGCTTTCCACCATGTTATAACATTGTTCCTTCATCAAAAACATACTTGAAGTCTAATATCTACTCTTTAAGTACAGATCGGTGGGCGGAGATAGGGGGTAGGTGAAAACAGACATTTTCTGAGCTCTCAAACCTCAAATGTGGGACAATACATGATCACTCAAACACGCAGGAATCAGTCTAAACACAAGTTTGAGTAGGATAATGATGGGAACAGCGTCATAATACGGTTAAAGCTCAGAAAACTCAATTGTAATGATTTCTCCTTTAAAAATACAGTCTAATTTTACATAAGTGCTAATTAATTCAGACTTCTTTACACTCACTCAGTGTTATTTTGTGCGTTTGCCGTGAGTCGGTTCATGATCAGAGCTCCCAGGATCAGCCCCAGGTTCGTCCGACCGACTCCGACCTGACAGCTGAAGACGAGGGCGGGCAGAGACGGGGGACCGCTGCATCTGGAGAGGGGGGACAGGCTCGGGCTCTCCTGTGCACACAAGAACAAAAACTCAACGTTAGAAGGAACGTTGTTGGGAAATACAATGATTTTAACAGATTCGTAGCTCTGACAATGCAAAAACTCAAATCTAGACAAGTTAAAATGACTTGAATTAAGAAGGTTTTGAGTAAATTTCACTTGACAAGTTAAATTATCTACCAATAGAACAAGATTTTTTGTTTTAAAATGAAAATACATCCTGCTTCACTTAAAAACAACAATGCTTTGCACTTAAAATAGGAACGTTGCTTTTAGTTTTACTCAAACAAAGTAAAATGTTCTTAATTTAAGCCATTTTAACTTAACTTGGATATTGTTTTTTGCAGTTTATCCAAAAATTACCAATATCGCAGATTCACTACAGCCACATACCGTGACAGACATTATTTCCAATTTTATTTTTCTCAAATTTTAATCACATTTTAGTGGATGGTTTGTAATTTTTTAACAATGAAACTGTGACTCAAAAAAGGTTAAAATGCTGCAGAACAGAAGTGGGACCAAGTCGTTGTTTTGCAAGTCTCAAGTAAATCTCAAGTCTTTGGCATCGAGTCCCAAGTCAAATCCAGACAAGTCCAAGTCGAGTCTCGAGTCACTGGCCCATAAGTCCAAGTCAAGTCCAAGTCAAATCCAAGTCGTCTGCTTTGAACTTCAAGTCATTTCAAGTCTTTAAACCAAAATAACAAACATAAGCTTAGATTTTTTGCAATTTATATGAACTTTAAGCTAAATTGTACTTGAAAAGTCATGGTATATTTATATATGAGTGCCGTATTTTTCGGACTATAAGTCGCACTTTTTTTGGTTTGGGTGTTTCCTGCGACTTGTATATTAAAATGTTTGAGTGAAGTGTGGAGAGGTTCTAGTCTTGTGTGTGAGTATCTGCTGCTCCTGTTCCTCCTGTACCACTGTCACTTGGCTCTACTGCACATGTCTCCTGCAGAAAGAGCCTCTGTCCTGCTGCAAGTAGTGAAATATGCAGCTGAAAACGATAATCGAGCAGCAGAAAGAAAGTTTGGAGTGTGAGAGAAACTTGTGACACCATGAAACTTTCCTGAAGTCACTGGATGGATGGACAAAGTCTGGACTTCAGTGACACTGAAACCATCCTGTCGGGATTCAGAAAGACCAGAATAATTCTAACTGGAACTGATGCTGAGTCTGACGACAGCGACACAGAAGAGGAAGCGGCGCTCTGTTTACCTCCGGAGGTCGAGGAGTTGTTCAGAAGTGACACCGAGGATGAAGAATTGAATGGATTTAGTGATTTGGAGTGAGATGGAGAGTTTGTTAAACTTGTTCTGTTCTGTTGTTTATGTTATAGTTTATCTGAAAAACTGTTCATATGTGACGTTAACAGTCTGTTGTTCTCTCTTCTGTTGTTATTACTAGAACTTGACTTTACACAGGAAATGTCGGTTCCTGGTCTCTGATTTTATAAAATACATTTTCCCCAAAAAGTGCGACTTATAGTCCGGAGCGAGTTATAATCCGAAAACTACAGTACATGGTTTTACAGCTCAAAAATACCTACAAAAACAGACATTCTGACTGTGAGCGGGGTCGCCTCTCCACAGATTTGACCTGTAACTTGGTCTGGTTTGGTGGAAGATAGAAAGGTTTAATGCCACACTGTGAAACCTTCCAGATGGAGAGTTTGTTAAACTTGTTCTGTTCTGTTGTTTATGTTCTAGTTTATCTGAAGAACTGTTCATATGTGACGTTAACAGTCTGTTGTTCTCTCTTCTATTGTTTTTACTAGAACTTGACTTTAAGATGAAATGTCAGTTCCTGTTCTCTGATTTTATAAAATAAATTTCACTGCTCTGCCTGGAATGTTCCACAATATGACTTCAAACAGCTCTGCATCACATTTATTCTATTCCAGGTGGTTTTATAGCGCAAAAATACCAAAAAAAAACAATATTCTGACTGTGAGCGGGGTCGCCTCTCCACAGATTTGACATGTAACTTGGTCTGGTTTGGTCTCCATGAAGATAGAACGGTTTAAAGCCACACTGTGAAACATTCCAGACAAAGCAATAACATCTCCATGGAGAGAAGTACTTGACGGATCCTCCACCAGAAAAATGACTCAGTGCACTTTTAAGGATTGAAAGGACCGGACAAGAGTCGTCATGATCTTTGTGTCAAAAAAAGGACCAATTATTTTAAACATCCTGAGATTTTAAACCAAGACAGAACCCAGGTCCGAGGAGCGGAGGTGAACTGACAGAACGTTTACGGATTAAAGGTGAACAATGAGGAAATATTAGACCAAATATAACCAACGAGACACGACGCTGAGAAAGTCCAGATGTGTGAAGTGTTTCCTGGACTAAGTATTAATAATATCAAAGTAAATTCTAAATATAATTGGTTTAAATGACAGTTGTATTAATAAAGTCTAAGAATATAAAAGAACTTATGTAACAGGGAGACATTTTGAGGCTTACATAACAAAAATACTTGATAATAATGGCTGAAAATTTTGAAACTGACCAAATGAGAAAATAGGTTGTGATGGTTATTTTGAGAACAGCTGTTGCAATAAACAATGACAAATGCTTCCCTCACTACTTCCTTTAAACTTTATGCACTGGTTTCTGAATGATGGAAAATTAGGACTATTGCCATAGAAATTAAATAGTTTCAGGGTTCACACGGTCATGGAAATCCTCAAAAAGTCATGGAAATTGAAAATGTCATTTTTAAATCCTGGAAAAGTCATGGGATTTTGTAAATTCAATTAAAGTTTTGGAAAAGTTTTGGAATTTTAGTATCTCTTTCTCACAACTCCAGCGTTCTCTTAAGTTCTCATGAGGCTATTATGATTATTTCTGAACGTCTGCGCCTTTTGTTTAAAAGAGACGACAATAAATGCACTGACAGGATTTTGAATGTTTAAAAACTATAATCCCAAACCATTAGGTGAGTGGAAAATTTTAACATTTCATATTTAGTCTGATAAATTTTAGACACGTAGGTGCTGTAAAGTCATGGAAAATTCACTTTAGGTCATGAAAAAGAATCTGTGTATCATTCGTTCATTTGTTTTTCAATATAAAACCAAAAATATGAAAAAGAAAAAGAAGTATTTTCTTCATTATTTGTCTCCAAATCCAAAATGAAAAATGATTTGTAACGATTTGTTTTTCAGTTTTCGATTTTGTGTTTAAATGAATAATGGAAAAAAATTGACGGACTTCCGGGACTTAGACCCGGGACTTTTCTTAGACCGGGACTTAGACCGGGACTTAGACCGGGACTTTCGGGACTTACGGGACCGGGACTTTTAGAACGGGACCGGGACTTAGACCGGGACTTAGACCGGGACTTAGACCGGGACCAGGATCAGTACCAGGACCGAGATTGGGAATAGAACCGGGACTGAGACCAAGACCAAGACCGAGGCCGGGACTGAGGCCGGGACCAGACCGAGACCGAGGCCGGGACTGAAAACGGTTTAGTCCTGGTTTAGTCCTGGTTCAGTCCTGGTTCAGTCCTGGTTCAGTCCGTATGTGGCTCAAAAGTCCGGCATCTCAATTTAAATCACAGAAACAGGAAACGTCCATTTTTTCCATTTTTCATTTAAACACAAAATTGAAAACTGAAAAAACAAATCGTCATCTGTTTTTTCATTTTGGTTTTGGAGACAAACAATGAAGAAAATTTTAGTTTTTCCGTTTTCTTATTTTTGGTTTTATTTTGAAAAATGGATGAACGAATGATACACGGATTAAAAAGTCACGGAAAAGTTCTGAAATTTTGTCAGTGAAAAAGAGCAGAAACCCTGAATTTAAATGTTACTGTAAAACTTCTATATTTTTTGAACGGTGAAAAATTGTCTACTGATATTTTTACAACATTTCCTGGAGAGAAATGAGAAAGAGAAAAGGAATTTAAATTATAAATTGGCCAAAATATCAATATACGGAGGCCTAGCAGTGTGATGATGCTGAAGTACCACATAACTTTTGTTTTATTTAATTAAATTTGTGTCTGTGTGTAAGTTTGTGGGTGTTGCTCTGTGTTTTTGTGTTTAGTTTTACTTTAATGTACAACAAAACAAAACAAATAACATAATAATTCACATTTTTAAGCATCTCCAGTCTTCTTACCCTGAGTATTTTCACAAACGCGTCAAACTCCTCCTCCAGTGGCGCTCCCTCAGAGGGCAGAGGTAATCTGTGGTACCTGCAACAACAAAAAAAAAACAGCATTTTACTAAACTCTGAATAATCCAGAGATCTGCCAAAACAAAACAGGAAAGACGATCAAATGTAAAGACGGTAAATTAATACCAGATGTTCATTACAAATAACAAAATAATGAAGTTTTAACAAATTGATAATGTATAAAAATAAAAACACGGCTTCCCGTTTTCAAAAATAAAACAGGGTACAGCTCTCTCTCTTTTCGTTCTTTCTTTTCATCCCTTGCTCCCCATTCTCCCTCACTCTTTCTCCGTTTTTTCCTGCCCTTAATCTTCTATCATCTCCTTCTGTCTTTCTTCCTCTCTCTTTCTCTTTATCACACTCTCTCCCTCGTCTCTCTCCATCTTTCTTATCCTCTATCCTTTCCACCCCATCCTTTTCTCTCTTTTGTCTTCTTGTGTTCTCTCTCTGCCTCTACTTTCTTTCTCTTCTTCTGTACTCTTTCCCTCTCTCTCCGTCTGTTCTTTCTGCCTCTACTTTCTTCTCTCCTTTTCCTTCTCTACTCTTCCCCCTTCTCTCTCTTTATCCCCCTCTCTCTACTTTCTCTTTCCTTCTCTACCCTTCCCCCTCTTTCTTTTTTTTTATCCTACTCTCTCTACTTTCTCTCTTTTCTTCTCTACTCTTCCCCTCTCTCCCTTTCTCTCTTTCCATCGGTTCTCTTTCTGCCTCTGCCTCTTCTTTCCCTTTCTTCTCTTCTACTCTCTCCCTCTTTATCCCCCTCTCTCTCCCTCTCTCTGTCTGTTCTTTCTGCTCCTACTTTCTCTTTTCTTCTCTACTCTTCCCCTCTCTCCTTCCTTATCCCTCTCTCTTGTGTTTTCTTTCTGTTTGTTCTCTTTCTCCCTCTTCTCTCTTTTCTTATCTAATCTTCCCCTCTCTCTCCCTCTAGTCATTCCCTCTCTCACTTTCTCTTTCCCCGTCTGTTCCCTTTCTCCCTGCCTCTGCTTTCTCTCTTTTCTTCTCTACTCTTCCCCTCTCGATCCCTCTCTCTCCCTCAACTCTTTCTCTGTCTTCCTTTCTCTCTCTCCGTCTGTTCTTTCTGCCTCTGCCTCTACTCTTTTCTTCCAAACTCTCCCTCTTCATCCCCCTCTCTCTACAGATGGAGAGAGGAGAAGACTAGAGGTACTTTTTTCTCCTCCGTCTCTACCTTCTCTCTTTTCTTATCTGTACACTTTCTTCCTCTCCTCGCTCTCCCTTTCCCCTTCCTCTCCTCTTCTCCTCTACTCTTTCTCCCCCTTACCCTCCATCTCTCTCTTCCCCCTCCATCTCCGTCTTTATCGCTCCCTGTCATTCCTGGCTCTTTCTTTCTGCTCTTTAAATGACAATTATTAACTATGTATTTGTATTTGTTTTTAAGGCAAGGCAGGGCAAGTTTATTTGTAGAGCACAATTTGTACACAAAGTAATTCAAAGTGCTTTACAGAATAAGAAAACATTAAAATCACAATAAAAACAAATCAAAACATAAATAATCATCATAAAATTAAAGATTAAAATTAGAAAAGAGAGAGAGAGACATTTAATGACATAAATTAGAGAGAAGAACCTTTCAGTCATGTGCCACAGTTAAACAGAACCGTTTTGAGTCTGGATTTAAACAGAGTCAAAGTCGAGTCTGTCTCACATGTTCAGACTGTTCCAGGTTTTATCTGCGTGAACCTGAAACTCTGACTCCTCATGTTTAGTCGTGACTCTGGGCACCAGCAAGAGGCAGAGCTGCTTTAAAGTCTATTCTCTGAGCCACAGGAGCCAGTGCAGAGACCTGAGTACAGGACGCATGTGCTCGTACTTCTTAATTCGAGGCAGGACCCGAGCTGCAGTTCGTTCTCTCACAGAGAGACCAGTGAACAATAATACAAAATGAAATTGATCTGACCAGTTTCCTTTTTGAATTTATCCTTACCTTCTCTCAAATTTCTTGTACTAATCTGATATGAGCCAGTTGTTTACTTTTGGCCTATTTAGTTTTTTCTTCCCTTCTCTCTCTATTCTTTCCTTTTTCTCTCTTTCACTTTTTCTCTATTCTTCTCTCCTGAAATTCTCCTCTGCCTCAGCTGTAAAACCATGCCTTTAAGCAAACAAACTTGTAATTCGATATTTGTCCCACTATTATTGTTCTTTTGACGATACGATATCACGATATTTCAGTTATTGTTACCCCTACTTCCTACAAGTCCTTCTTCTCATATTCTCATCAGCCTTGTTATTTTCATTTTATCTTCTAGGGAGCGCTACCATCTTTCGCGAGGCCCGTCGTATCCGCGACCTGGACCGCGTTCTCTTTGGGGTACCAGACTTACCCACAAGCTTTGACTCTGGTTTTCGATGAACTTCCTGGTCCGGACCTGCTTTGCCCCCTCTCAATGGACCACTTCTCTGCTCAGGCCACGCCCACAGAGCCAGTCACGCCTGCGCTGGGGGCGGCCAGGTTGTCCAGGGGCGGAGCCTACTCTGGCGAGGTGCAGTGGTGCGTTTTTGTCCCTTCTGCAGACAGCCTCTTCTAATATCTCTTTTGGCCCGACAGTGGAGGTGTTATGCAGTAGGGAGCTCTCCTGTCTGAATTGACTGGATGAATGGGACTCAAAACGGACAAAAAAAAATATATCTGGGGGCAGGTGTTGCTCCAGATGCCCTCTACCAGAGTTCTCTAATTATCTTCATACTCGGGGCTGAGTTCTTTGATGCTGTTGTGTATGATTACTACACAAGCAGAGCACAAAGGTAAAGTAGACGGACCACGTTTCAAGTCTGGGACATCTCTCTGGAAAAACATGGAAAAGTCGTTCTAAAAGTGAACAGCTCTAATATAAGACAGCAGAGAGTCAGTCAAGTTTGAGTTTCATCCAAGTTTCTACAGATCTACCTTGGAGCAGATTGGAGCGGCTCGCTCTCTCTCTCTCTTCTCTCTCTTTCTCTCTCTCTCTCTCTCTCTCTCTCTCCCTCCTCTCTCTCTCTCTCTCTCTCTCTCTCTCTCTCTCTCTCTCTCTCTCTCTCTCTCTCTCTCTCTCTCTCTCTCTCTCTCTCTCTCTCTCTCTCTCTCTCTCTCTCTCTCTCTCTCTCTCTCTCTCTCTCTCTCTTCTCTCTCTCTCTCTTTCTCTCCCTCTGTTTTTAGTCTTTTCAGCTACAATAAAAAACTATGTATGCTACTACTATAACTACTACTACTACTACTACTACTACTACTGCTACTACTACTACTACTACTACTACTACTACTACTACTACTACTACTACTACTACTACTACTACTACTACTACTACTACTACTACTACTACTACTACTACTACTACTACTACTACTACTACTACTACTACTACTACTACTACTACTACTACTACTACTACTGACACTACTACTATACTACTACTACTACTACTACTACTACTACTACTACTACTACTACTACTACTACTACTACTACTACTACTACTACTACTACTACTACTATACTACTACTTCTACTACTACTACTACTACTATACTACTACTACTACTACTACTACTAGTAGAAGTAGCAGTAGTAACAGTAGTATTAGTAGCAGTACTAATAATACTACTACTACTACTAATACTACTGCTACTAATACTACTATTAACATTACTATAACTACAACTACAACTACAAATACTACTACAACTAAAACTACTACTACAACTACTACTACTACTGCTACTATTACAACTACAACTACAACTACAACTACTACTACAACTACAACTACAACTACTACAATAGCCTACAAATGTAACAAAATCCACAAAAAAATAAATAAATAAATTCTATTAACAGCCTATTTCAATTACATACCTTCTTAACTACTACTACTACTACTAGTGCTGGGTACCATTTAAGAGACGCAGTATCAAAAAGTAAGTAAAGGTTACAATTGATGCCAAAAATTTGTATGAAAAATATGTTTTTAGTAAGAAAATAGATACAATTTTCAATCCCCACACTAGTGTTGGTTAAAATAATGTTTTGGAATGCAAGGTATAGCACAACTCATACATCATGTAATACAAACTGCTTTATAGAATAAAAAAAAACATTAAATTCACTATATATAATAAGAATTTGGATTTCAGGATATTCAAAGCCAATATAAAGTATAAATATCAGTTTGTAATTTTGTTATTGTCTTCTGTGTAATATGGGGTGTAATTAGGGGTGTGCAAAACATATTGAAATATCGATATATCGTATCGTTTAATGTAATGATACAGTATCGATATCGTGGGGTGTTGTATCGCTATATCGCCAAGAGTATTTTTTGGTATATTTCACTAAATTATTTTGTTAGAGAGCAACAGTTTTGTTGCTTGTTCAGCGAAAGGAAACTCGTTGACATTTTCACTGTTCTGATTATTAAAATGTTTGTGTTTCATATGAACTTTGCACAAGTGGTTTAACAAAGACTTTTAGTATCACAGACATCATTTAGATTTTATTTTTTATTGAACCGTATCAAATTGATTTGAAATATATCGTATTGTGAGCTCACTATATCGAGATATGTATTGTATCGGCAACTTCTGAATGATACCCAATCCTCAAATAAAAAAAATACTGGAATGGTGCATCCCTACTGCGATGTACTACTACTTCTACTGTTACTACTACTACTTTTACTACGACTGCTACTACTATAATCACTACTGCAGTGCACAGACCTGTACTTGGGCATGGTGAACAGCGGTCTCTTGTACACCTCCTCGGTCACGTGGATGTCCTCTTCACACGAGATGGAGATTTTCTGAGGTTCGTCTCTGAAAAACTCGATGTCGTTGTAAACAAAGAACACGTTTTCATTCAGTTTGGCAAAGTCGTGGAGCTGGAACAGAGAAGAAAAGAAGCGAAATGGTGAATTTTTGAAAATGGTGGAAAATGCACAAAAAACACAACCTAAACAAACCGTGAATTTAGAATTTTCTCTTCATTAAATGTATATTTTAAGTAGAATATGACTTATGCATTATTGTCCTAAAGCTGCGTAAGGTAAGTGAGGAATAACTCATTCTGTTTTTCATGTTTTGATGGTAAAAATCAGGCACTGCATCTTATAATAATATTTAAGAACATGGAGCTGTGTTGATTCAAGCGCTGATCAAAAGGCTGACATTCCAAAACTGCTGATAATTGTTCAGATAAACAGCGAAAATGGTTTTGCGATTCAGTTTTGAGTATCGAATATCCGACCTCTTTGCGTATGGTGCTCTCCAGACTCTCCACGGGCTCGTTCTTGTTGAGTCCGTGCAGGTTTTCGTGGAGGTTTTCCTTTTTCCTCGGAGTGTACGGCACAAAGTCCTCGTCTTTATGAAGGAACAGCACCGGCTCCTCTCTCACGCACAGGAAAATCACCTCCTGATCCAACAAAACACAACATTGGACAGTCTATACGCTACAGTGTCAAGTATATATATATCATTTGTGTACAATAGGAAGTGAACATGCGGGGCACTTCTGGCTCCATCGACTCTGGCTCCAATTGATTTACATTGAAAAACTGTCACCCCCTCGTCATTTTGGTCTAAAAATTTTCATATTAACCCACTTTAAATGATCCTGCCGTTTTTATTTCACCATTTTGTTAATACATTTGTAATTTGTAAATAAATTCCTGTTCCTAAAATAAAACTCTGCTCCAAATTCGCCCCTGTAACTGCTAGCCTTGATGATTTAAACAGTCTATGGTCTGTACGAGTCACTGAAGGTTTAACTGCATATTATTTTATATTATGGCTATTTTACATTTAGAATCATAAAAAAAATC